AAAAATGGTAAAACAAGCCCAAACTGGTTATAGTTGTCAACAAGATTTAACAACCTCGATTTTTCCTTAGATATACATTGATTAAAACAAATTCTTTAAGCTAATCTTAACCCCAAATGGGAATTTGAACAAGCTCTCAAATTCACAGGTGTATTCAACGTTAATTGATCTTATTAATTGATAACTCAAATGAAAATGACATTCGTATAGAAATCAAACAAATAAACTTGTTCACAACATTTTACAAAGGAATCACAAATGAAATACATTAACAATCTAAAGTTTGACTATTGTTGGAAATAAAAACGAGTTATCGACTTAAACGAAATGGAGATGGTAAAAATCGCTTCAAATCTTCTCTCTTGCTCCCAAAAATCGTCCCTACGTCAAATCTCTCTCAAACGGCGGTTTCCAAGTCAATTCATAACAAGAAGATGGAAAAACTACTTAATACACACACACACACACACACACACACACACACATATATATATATATATAAGGTTGAGTTCACGTGAGACCAACATGTTTTCGTGAGAGTTGTGAGACCCCATTTTTATCACTTAAAACTTTACAACAAAACGTTGTGAAGGTAAAAAAAATTTGAATCTTCACAACAAAACACTGTGAATACATTCACAGTGTTCTGCTGTGAAGTTCGAAGTGTAAAAATGTGGTCTCATGTATCTCACGCAAATAAGATAAAAAAAAAAATTTAACTACAAGGGTGGTGTCCCGATTGGTTTGAGTTAAAACTCCAAAGGTCAAAAATACCTACAGGTCTCAAGTTCGAATACAAGAAGGAATAAAAATCTTCTTATGACCACGGAGGTTCAAATGCGAAAACTCTGGGCTACCTGCGAAGCGGGTGGTCGCTCCGGGATTAGTCAGCTCGTATAGTGTGTTGAATATCCAGGTTAATAAAAAAGATATTAAAAAAACAGTAAAATAACTACAATACCCCTGACTTAACGAGATTTAATGTATTTTTCAGACCTTTGTTAGCTTTAAGGACTCAAACCAAGCACTTTCTCATACCACGAGGATTTTCGAAGGTTAAACTTTAATGGACCCAAGACAAGAAAAACAATAAACCATATGGACCAAAATTGCAATGTACCCTATGATTTATAATAATAAAAGCGTTTCAACGAAAACAATCTAATTAAAAAATATTTTACATAAAAGTTAGAAAAAAACATGATATAAAACTAATTTTATATTCTATATAATATTTAAATAACTTTTACATACGACATAAAAGTTATAGACCATGTTAACAACTTATTTTAGACCAATTTAATCCTTCATATATTCGAATCAGAATTTGTTAATAAGATTGTTAGATAAAATGTGAACATCAAAGTGGCTGTAGTTTAGTGGTAAGAATTCCACGTTGTGGCCGTGGAGACCTGGGCTCGAATCCCAGCAGCCACATTCTACACTTTTTAATTCCTTTTTATGCTTTTAACATAGTATTTAATAAAGTTGTTTGTGGTGTGTACTTTTTTTTAATATTTCCATAGCTTCTTAAATATAGAAGCCATATCAATTAATATTTAAAAAGATCGGACCTGAAAAATTGAAAAAGTCATTGTTGGCTGATATTTTGGAGATAATGGCTTATTTCTTCAGTATATACATGAAAGTGGCTAATCCAGAATAAAAGAAAACATAAGCGATTTCGATTTCGATTTCTTTAGTTTCCTTGAGCAAATAGAGGAAAAGAAAATTACAATATACAGGGATACAAATTAGACGGTGCAATTTAATCAAAGCTGGGCCATTTTATCCCTAGAAACACGTGTTTTTTTAATTACCTAATGAAAGTGACCTCGTATATGACTTAATGATCCAATTTGATCTTTTTGTTTTTATGACATTATTGTAAGCAATGAAGTTTTTGCCACTCGTATATCGACCGTTCTTTCCTATTAATCTACCCAAAATTAATGTCGGGTTCAAACAAATTACCATATTGAAAGTCATACGTGTCTTGAAAATATTAACTGGACTCGTTTCGACAAACGTAGGTGGCAATGATGAAAATATATTCTTTTTGCATGATAAGGTTCACAAGAGAATTGTGTGGCATGGGTTTTATGCTAATCCAAATAGCTAAAGAGAAACGAGATTTGGATGAGATTGGCCATTTGAACATAGAAAATGCCCGATTTGATCTCTTTTGTGTTCATCTTGTCTATAAATAGGGAAGAGTTGCAAAAACCCATATCACTATAATAGAAGAATTTGCAGTAGCAAATAGGATTGGAAGAAAGGGTCTTGCATGGAGAGAAAAAACGTTGTTGGATAGCCAAGGATGACTTGCCTACTGCTTGTCCGCCTCTTTAATTTCAAAGATTTGTAATCAGGTTGGTTATTTGGTAGTAGGCAATCACCTTGGCTAACTTGACAATCTTTCCTTTTCATGCTAGACCGCTTTTCCTGACCCCCTTTATGGTTAAGTTCTTTAACGGCTAGCTTGATCACTTATGTGTCATAGTAGAAAAGAGGGTGATTCAAAGGAGATTGGTTTTCATCCTCCCTCAATCGACATATATACTCTTCGAAATTATAAATTGGTTTGATGTGTATTTTTTAGGGAAAATTGCATCAAAATGGAACCAATTTTCACTTGATCCTTATTTTGGGGAACCAACTTTCAAAATCGTTATTTAGAGGTCTCTATCAAACTTTTTGTTTATTTAAGGGTCTGGTTGATATGGTGAACATGTAATTTAAAGGTCTCTTGCCAAATTTGATTTAAACTTTAATATTGATACGGATTGGTTATATATAAAAATCTTGAATGTGATATTTATTTTTTATTGCATCTATTACTTTTTTTCTATTAAATTGATTTTTTTTGCATTAGTAAAAAACAATATTTATTGTGGTAATTTGGATTTTTTTTTAGATCTTCAATTTGATATCTAAATTAAAAAAAAACGAGATTTGAAATAAAAAATAGATTTTATTGCATTAATTTTTGAAAAAAAACGAATTTTAGTTATTTTTCTATAATTATTTTGCAAATTGATTCCCCAAAATATGAATCAGATGAAAGTTAGTTACATTTTAATACAATTTTCCCTATTTTTTTTTATCTATTTCAATTCATTCTATATGCGAATTCCCCTCAAAAGGTTATCCCAACATTATGCACTTTCTACATGCTCTCTTAAATTGACATTATAATTTCATAGGTGACGAAATGTATGATATTTTTGCATTATTGCATTCCCTCAAGAGGAGATTGTTATCTCACTGACAATCGTAAGAGGTTAAGGTTCTATGTGGATCGCCTTATTTACAAAACAACAATACGAGTAACGTTGAGTTAATTGTTAACAATTCTTTGTATATTGTATAGATTTATATTTTAGAAATAATCTGAAGTTAAATACGATCATTAAGACGATTAATTCAATCTTTTTGAATTTAAAATATTTTAAACGTTTAAATATGATTATTAAGACGATTAATTCAATCTTTTTTAATTTGAAAGACTGTAAACATTTAAATATAGTTTGGTAACCATTATTGATGGATATAATCTTAGAAGCTTAATTGAAAATGGAGTTTTTCTTTGTTCATAACATTTTGATCTTATTAATTAATTTGTGTAATTCTTGTCAAGTCATTGTTTTAGGTGATGTATTATATGTTTTGTTATACGGGGTTTTGGTTTATGTCCTCCGCCATTGTATATCATTTTTTTTGTCATATATAAATAAAAATTGGTGTTGGGATGAGTCGCTTAACTTGACTAGGTTCCAAACTCCCTCTTGTAGTTTATTTTGGTTTTTATATAAATATATTATGGGCATTTTTTTTTGTATGGGCATCTGAAACCTCAGATTGACTATGTCGTCCAGATGAACGATTATCAGGGCAGTCTTCAATTTTTTTTCCTTGCGATTTTCCTCTGAACGAGACTCTCTCTCTATAAACACACACACACACACACGACTAGTTGGTATTAAATATCAAAAATACAAAAATGAGTTCGTTTTTCTCGTACATAAGTTTCATAGACTACGAGGCTTGAATACAATCCAATGAATTAAGGGCGCGTCTCATTTGCTGAAATGATTTTAGAGTGATTTGCATTTGGTTTGGATTTAGACTTTTTGGTATGTTTGGTTTATATGACTTATAATGAATTTGAATTCCCTTATTTATAAACAGAAATTATAAATAGTTATAAAAATGATTAACTTACCCTTTTGAATAAAAACATGTTATACATAATCATGTTTGAATTGAAATTGAGATGCTGACACAAGTTCTTCCCTTTTGAATCAGATAGATTAATATCCGAAAGATGTTGACAATAATTTCTTTTAAAATTGACTATTTGTCCCTATGTTAAAGGTGTTCCAGAAATATTTATGATTGAGTAAATGGCTTTACAAACGAATGGATTGAATTGACTTGAAAAATGAAAATATTTATATAAGTTATACGTTTCGTCACCACTTTATGGAAAAACCTATGAATATATAAGAGGCAATAAACTTTAATACATCTAAACCAAATGCATTAATTTAAGTTTTTGATTCTTTAATATTTTGTTATTTTATAATAAAATATATAAAAACAAGTTATATCTCTATTTTACATTAGACATTATTAGTTGTGTACCCGTGCAATATAACGGGAGCCGTGAATTTTAACGATTTTGAAGTTTCACTGGTTTTATTTAGAGAAGATTTAACGATAATATAAGTTACATTTGATCTTTACATATTAATACAATTTGAATAAATAAGAGTTATGGTTCCAATTACAGTCTATCGGCGAAAAAATTTGTATGACAGTTTAAAATCCAATATATTTAAAATCCAACATATTTAAACGACTCCACAAATGTGTTCGATTTACACTAAGACCAAAGAATCAAGAGATCGAGAGCGAGCCCGAGAGTTCTAGAGCAATTGAATGAGAAAATTTTTAATAACTCATGGTGAATATCAGTTTGAATCTCACCTCAGGGAATGGAGAGAAGACATAAAGGTATGAGAGGGTGAATGAGTGAAAGGTGTCAAAAGCATCTTGGGAACATGAAAATAAAATATAATAATATGCATTGGTAACTTGTATTATATGTTATTTTAATTGTAATAAAAGAATAAGACTGAATGCATAAAGTAGTGGTACTTAATGCATTATAAGTTGTTTTTAAGACTTTATGCATAAATGTATAGTACTTTGTGCATTAAAAATTGTTTTTAAGACTTTTGATAAATCTGATTTATGAAGGAACTAGAAGAGTACTCGCGCAATGCAGCAAGATACATCTCGATTTTAATGTTCTATTCTATTATTTGTTTATGTCGATGTTATAATACGATTTTATGTGTTTTTAAGAAAACAATAATGATTTTATTTTTGAATAAAATATAAATTTGAAGATATCATAAAAATTTGAAAAAATATATATCAATGTTAATATCAAATCAACTCTTTAAAAGTTCTCATCGTTTATGTAATTTCTTTAATTTATTTTTTATTATAATTTAATTTAAATTTAATACCGAAATAATTTATTTTTGGTTTAATATTATAGATTTTATAAAGATAAAAATTAAGTATTCTGTTAGAATTCAATGATTATCCTAATTATATTTTAGATTTTTTATATT